CAAGTGTTTGGTGATTTTGGTGTTACGGTCTACACTTCTCAGCTTGTTCCTCATCAATCACCCATGTTCTCTCCCATATTTTGAGCAACATATGATTTTGATCAGATGACATCTATGATGTCAAATACGAGTATTTGTCCTCAGGTGAGAGAGCAGAGTGGTAGTGGCCATGTATTTACAACACCAGATCATATGCCCTCGGTGATGAGCAGTTGGTTATGATGAACAACTCTTGAACAACCTATGATGTCAAATACGAGTATTTGTCCTCAGGTGAGAGAGCAGAGTGGTAGTGGCCATGTATTTACAACACCAGATCATATGCCCTCGGTGAATGAGCAGGTTGGTTATGATGAACAAACTCTTGAACCACCACAATGACCACAATGAAATCGACACGCGCCTCATCATTATTATTCAACAACACTCCGACACCGACATGAGTTGTAAACACTTGATATGTTTGAATTAATAAATTTTAAGTTGAATTAATATCCATCATTCAACTATTAATATCCATCATATTAATTCAAATGTTGATATTAATCACATTAATTCAACTATTGATGATATTATTCACATTCATTCAACTATTGATATTAATCATATTCATTAAAATATAGTGTCAATAAATATCCATCATATTAATTCAAATATTGATATTAATCACATTAATTCAACTATTGATATTAACCACATTCATTAAAATATAGCATAAAAACATCCATCATATTAATTCAAAAAAATAGACAAAACTAAACATTCATTGAAATACAAATAGGAAAGAAATTAAATTACTCATTCAAATAGAAATAAGATTACTAGTGAGGCCTATATCGTGGAAGGTTTGGACAATTTCTTTTTGAATGACCTTCACCTCTACATAATCCACATCTCTTATGTTGACATTTCTCTCTAATATGGATATCCATACTGGTATGAATACGAGTAGACTCAGGTGAACCTGTTGGACTTCTACGAAGTAGTGGATTTGGCAACCATTCATCATGATGTTGTTTAAGCCAATATGATTCATTTTGGGATCAGTCTAAACTCATGGTTGTGTATATTTAATATCCTCTTTATGTGAAATCACTCATCAACATAAGTTTATGAATTGATTCTGGTATGCATACATGCAGCGACTGCATGAGTTCACGGATATCTCCAAGCCTGAAAAGACCACAATTACACCATATTTGTCGTAAATTAACTGTAAATGTTTCTCACTCTGCTCCTTCGTTGCGATGTATGCATGTGATGACAACAAAAGTATATCCAATTCGATCGAAGTCATGAAAAAATATTGAGGTTGCCAATCGCTCATTTCTTTCTATTGCTTCTATCATTGTTAGAGCCCAGATTTTACCTTGATTTTTCAGACACTCGATCTTTTTCCCTTTATTAGACCAAACTTTAACCAACCTAAAGTATGTCTCTTTCACCACACTCGCTATTGGGAGATGGCGTGTACCTTTTAGTATTGAATTAATGGCCTCAACAAGGTTTGTTGTCATGTGTCTGTATCGCCGACTACTATCATATGCTTGTGACCACTTTTCCCGCTAGATTTTTTATCCCCACTTCCAAACCTTCTCATCTTTTACCTTCAAATCCTCCAATCTCTTATCAAAATTTGGTTGGCATAGTTCATATCCTGTTTCAAAATATATATTGTGTTAACGTCAATTTATAAACAAACACATAAATGGATACAAATGTTGAAAATAAACTTACTTCTTCAACCAACACCTTCACATATTGGCATATTACATCGGAGTCCAGTAGTCGGTAGTCTTGTTCGATAGAGTTTTGCAAACATATGTGTGGATTATTGTACTTTGTGATGACCCGAGCATCTTGCCTCTGCATTTTGGACACTCTTATTAGCTAATTACACTCGGGCCCATATTTAACATACTTCGCGTACATAGTTTTCTGGTTGGACTCTGCAACCTTTCAATCTACATGGCCTTTTATGCAATACTCTTTAATCGCCAGTGTAGCTTGTGTAGCTTCTCTTTTTTCTCTGTATTGCTTCTCAACTGATAATTCACCAGAGTTTTCGGACGATTCACTCATGTAGCCTGAAGTTAAATGTGGCATCTCCGGGATTTCAGGTGCTCTCATTGCATCATAATCTATCTCGTGCATGTGAGGGGTAGATTGATATGGTGTCGGATATTCATCAATATTGTTATCAGGTTCATCACCATCGAACATATCGTCGTCATCAGCCTAAAGAGGTTCCTCAGTTTCTTCATCTTCACTGAGATCATCAAGTATTTCTTCCCAGAGGTTTTCAGCGTCATACTCTACGACTCCAAATATTCCACCAACATCATTTGCACTTTCCAACATCGCCATGAAGCTGTTTGTCGACCTATATGTCGGGTTATCAAACTGACTTTCGAAAGCCATTTGAGATGAAGTTCCAACCGCATTTCTTGATGACCCAAGCATATCAGATATATTACACACCTAAAAAAATAACTCAATAATTGGAATATTTGTTGAGTCATGTAATTCAATCATAGTTATAATATCATCATCTTCTTGAAGTGGTATTGCAACATACCTGACTAGATTGGGATATACCATAAACTTGTACCTCAAACCATCAACTGTAGCTCGAATTTTCCTTTTTATCCTCTCATTCATTTCTACAAATGTGATGTCCCTTTTAAACATCATATTTATATGTGCTTCAGACTGAAAAATAACCCCGACCTTATTTTCCATAATATGTCCATTGTAATGGACAATCGTAAAAAAATTATTGCTCATTTTCTCTACACATAAAAATATAGATATTCAGAATAAATTACATTTACGATTATAATGAAAATAAATTATTTACAAAATTATAATATATATTATTAAATTTTAAAAAAATGAAAATATATTAATAATATTTTTTATTATAAATGTAAATATATTAACAATATTTTTTTATTATAAATGTAAATATATTAACAATATTTTTTTATAAAAATAATGCTTAAATACTATGATTACATTATAATAATGATTAAATTTATTACTTCATATTTTTTTATAACTACTTATTATTACTTCGAATTTATTACTCCTTAATTCATTATACTTTCCCGTTTAACCACCAACCTACCCGGAATATTAATGGATAAATAATAACTACCAACCACCAACCTACCCGGGTTATTAATGAATAATTAATAACCACCAACCATCAACCTACATGGGTTATTAACGGATAATTAATGGTGTCATTTTTTTTTGTCATTATGATAAATATTATTTTTCTACTACAAATACTAAATCAAATATGTTCGGTTTAAATACTATGATTGCATTATAATAATGATTAAATTTATTACTTCGGATTTTTTATAACTACTTATTATTACTTCAAATTTATTACTCCCTAATTCATTATACTTTTTCGTTCAACCACCAACCACCAACCTACTCGGGTTATTAGTGAATAGTTAATAACCACAAACCACCAACCTACTCGGGTTATTAATGGATAATTAATGGTATCATTATTTTTTGTCATATAATAAATATTATTTTTCATCATTATAATAAATATTATTTTTCTACTACAAATATTAAATCAAATATGTTCATCTAATTATCTTAACATTTCTACTACAAATACTAAATCAATAATGTTAAAATTACAATAATGATATTTTACATAACAATAAATCTTAAAATGATATTTACTAAGTCAATATGTAACTAATAATAAATCGTAAAATACTTTAAATAATATATTTTTACACTTACTTGAGAGTTTCTTTCAACAAGTTGATGTTATAAAAAAAACCTTTTCGAATTTCTTACTCACTTCTTTTTTACCTGCAACAACATATTAAAAGTAATATTTTAATAACCGTTCTGAAATAGAGATATATTATTCGAATACGAATAAAATTTTATTCAAATAATACTTACATGTTAAATATTAAAAGAAAATTTCGTTCAAAATTCTCTACTATTCTTCCAACAAGTTGATGTTATAAAAAACCTTTTCGAAATTCTTACTCACTTCTTTTTTACCTGCAACAACATAGTAAAAATAATATTATAAAAACCTTTCTGAAATAAAGATATTTTATTCGAATACGAATAAAATTTTATTCAAATAATACTTACAAATTTTAGATTAGAAGAAAATTTCGTTCAAAATTTTCTCTACTATTCTTCTCGGATACTTGCTCTTTCAATTCTTCTCCATATTTTGCCTCTTCTATCTTTTCCTCGTCACTACTTTACTCCTCAATTCTCAACAAAAACACATTTTATAACATCCCGAATATTTATTACAATTTTTCGTTTAACAACCAACCACCAACCTACCCAGTTATTAATGAACAATTAATATTCTCATTATTACTTACATGTTTCTCAATCGGAGGCAATCTACCACCATACACTGAAGATGTCGAGTAATCACAGAGTCTTCTGTATGGTTAACTTGCCTAAAGATGTCAAGTGATCCCAAAGCCTTTAACTGAAGATGTCGAGATTTCCTAGAATCTTTAACCTTATACTATAAAAAAACACCCTAGATATAGAAATAATCTCAGAAGTGGATTATCCTGAGAAAAAAATTCACAACCGCGTTATCCTGGCAATTTTGCAATTTTGGTAAGGTTCATTTTCTAATGCTTCCTTTATTCTTTATCCTGACAGGGAACGGCGCCGTTTCGCTTTCGAAGTGATAAGATACTGCTGCTCTCCATCATATTCCATGGTACGCTGCAGAATAACTGTAGGGAAAATCAATCATTTGAATCCTAGGGTTTCTTTTCCTCAAGTGATAAGACGCTGCTCCCCTCCATCATGTTCCATCGTACGCTTCACCAGAGCCGTAACAAATATCAATCTTTTTCAATCCTAGGGTTACTTTTCCCTTTTTCTTCTTCCCAATAAGTAGCGAATCTTCTTAAGACGGTTTCTATTTTTTAATTCCTTTTTTTTTCAATTTTTACAAAATAATCATTTTTTTCTGTTTTCTGTTTGGCTTCCGGGAAACCAAATGGAAAAAAATATTGAAAGGCTAGCTGCTCCAGATAGACTTGGTTTATACAACGGGTCACTCCAATTACTTCATGTAAGACCGTAACTCGACGCTTGATCCTTCACTTCTCTCCACCGTTCGTTTTCTATTTAATTGTTGTTATTCATTCACTTCCATTGTATCTCTGCACTGATGAGAGTTATCTTATGGATTAATTTATGATAGGCTTATAATATTTCATTTCTGGGTGTTCTATTTTAGATAATTCAATGTTTTTTCTGATAATTCATTGGCTGGTAGTTCCTGCTAACTTCCTTTTCCCCTTAGTAGCTCTACTGAACTTATTTCCCAAAAAGTCATGCAGAGTAGAGTGGTCAACACTGAAAAAAAAAGAAGTTGCTTTTTTTATATGGGTTCCAAGACGTTAAAAATGAAGATGGAATTTGCTTCAATTGATATAAGAATGATACCTAATAATTTGTAGTTTAATGCCAAAAAATTGATCATTCTTTGGTAATAAATTTATGTTGTTTGATATAAGGATGATTCATGTTATTTGGATAATTCTTCTTTATCTTCTTATATATCATTTTTCTTTCTACTTTCTTTCCAATTTCAGTTAGATGCAAACTTTATGTGAAAGAAATCGGAAAATGAAGTTGTTTCGGTTTTGCTTGCTGGCAGCCTTTGCATAAATGAACTATTTGGTCAAAGAAAAAGCATAATGGAGAGCAAATATAATCGAGGGATAGATTCAGATGAAAGCATGAAGTGTTCGGAAGTTGAGAACTTTGATGAGCAGGAACTGGTCGATCATGAACTTTCAGACAACATTGATTTGTGCTTGGGAAAAGTCGACAAGATTATAGATGAGTCTACTGAGAGTTTACCTTTGTTAGGCAATGTCGCAGAACCGTATATTGGCATGGAGTTTCAGTCAAGAGATAGCGCAAAGGAATTCTATGTTGCTTATGGGAGACAAGTTGGTTTTACAGTGCGAATCCATCATAATCGACGTTCAAGGATAAACAATACGGTAATAGGTCAAGACTTTGTTTGCTCAAAAGAAGGTTTCCGTGAAAAGAAATATATGTATAGGAAAGACAGGGTTGTACCTCCACCACTAATCACTCGAGAAGGTTGCCCTGCAATGCTGAGGTTGGCTTTAAGGGATGGGGTAAAATGGGTTGTTACCAAATTTGTCAAGGAGCATAATCACTCATTGATGTCACCTGGAAAAGTACCATGGCGAGGTTCTGCAAAAAATTTGATCAGTGAGGTATGCTACGATATTTTTTTAACTATAAATCAAGGTGCATATGAGATTAGGTTTCCAGTTCGTGCTATCATATTCAATATAGATAACATGATGAGAAGTATGGATCAAGATTAGTAAGCTGTCACTCTTTCGGATTTCACACACAACCATCTAGGAATATAACTGTAAGCATGCTCAAGTATGATGCACCTTTGTCATCTTCCTTTTTCTCCTATTGTTTTCCTTCCATAATGTTTTTTTTCTTGTAGGATGAGAAGGATCGGAGAATACAGGAACTAACCCAAGAACCGAACAATGAGAAACAAAAATGTAAACGATGATGTGCTGCTTACCAGGAACAATTACGCACAAGATTGAAATTTGTTGAGGAGCATACCGATCAATTCTCAAGAAGGGTTCAAGACATTGTCGACAACATAAAAGAGCTTGAAGAAGCATAGCTGGGAGATTGAGGTTCTCTTTATTCTATCTTCTCGCGAGGCCTAAAAATGTACGGTACATTGTACGATTCCTTTGTCACCCTTGTTTGGATATATCCGTGATTTTATTGATGAAAAAAGCAGTTAATTTGGATCATTCCTTCTTGGAATTGTAGTGCTAAATGTCAAAAAGAGTGAACATTGGAACTAGTCTCGGATAGCTGAACTGTTGTTACAATTGCAATCTTGAGTCTCTCCATGGTACTTGGACGCAAATGTTCCTTTGTTGGCTATAATTATAGCCAAACTAAGTGCCCACATTAAGGCCTCTTTTTGGCAAACCATTGCAGTCAAAAGAGAATCATAAGAAGCAAGCTGAATGGGCTATAAAGCCCAGCAAACCATTGCAGTTGAAAGAATCATAAGGAGCAAGCTGAAGAGCCTATAAAAAGCTGGCATACAATCTGCCGTCGAGCAAGAATAGCACATTTGCTCGCAGATGTGCCTAAAACTTGTAAATTCATTTAACCCATGAGCGGAAGTACATCTGAGTAGCAATTATGCAATAATGTTGGAAATGTTAAGTAGTTTTGACTGAGCCCAAATAATAATACATGGACAATTTTGTGGTACCAACGAGAAACTTTAGCTTGAACAATTTGACATGCTTTTACACTTGCCTGCTAATGCGTGCACATGGACGTTTTATGGATTCTTGATAGCCAAGTTACCAAAAACTTGTGCATCGATATGATGATTCCATTTACTGCTACTTATCCCATGCATAAGGACTATGCAATCAAGCCTCGACAGAGGAAGTAATAGTAAATAAACATCTAGAAAGCTATTTCGAGAATTACATTAACCATGAATCCACCTATCTCTTTTTCTTTAGGACTGAAGTAGCACGAAGAAATACCTGATCTACCTCATCGAAGTTTGGTGTGTTAACATCTTCCTCGGATGCTGTGGGAACTCTTGAGTTCATCGATATTTGACGCAAGTGATCCTCAAAATCTAGGGTTTCTCCATCACTTTCCCCTGGAAATTTGTAAAAATCACCTAAGAAAACCGGTTGCTCTTCCCTCTCCTCTGTCTCAATGTTAGACTCGGTCTCAAAAATATCAGACTCCTCTGAATCGGAAGCCATAAGCAAATCTGTTTTGGATTCATTTTCAGATAGTTCCTTACTCTCATCCAAAATTTCTTTCAATTTATTTGGCCCTTCAAGTTGCAAGCTTGAAACTTTCCCAGTATCCACATTGGGTTGGTGTTATTTGCAGCTTGAGCACGTAGCAGCTCGACGTCCTGCTCGAGCTTTGGGATATACTTACTAACAGCTCTAAGACCATCCCTGTATTTGGATTTATCCAGAGCCTGTACGGCAGAAATGGAAAGAAAATGATGTGAAGGCAAATGTAAACAATTAAGTATGAATACCAACGGCTGAGAATGAAAGTGAAGATATAAAACATCACAAAGTCTTCTTTATAGGACAAATTAGAAGAGTTTGTCATATGAAGGAAATGCTTGAACTGAGTGTGCCACAGTCCACGGCTCAGCAAACTGAAACCCACAATTTCATTCTTTAGATTTTTAATATTATGGTGAGAAACAGAACTAAGAAAAGATAAGGAGAGAATAAGGACCTTCTTTCTAGAGAGTGACCCGAGGTGATATAATCTCTGTTGGTGGCTTTGAATATTTTTTCCTTCCGTACATAATTATTGTTTTGGCTTCATGAATGTAGAGCACAATCAATCTTGCTAGCTCAGCAGCACTCTCCTTTGACTTCCTCCAGCGAGAATGTCTTAACCACAACCTTCAACGTCTGATGCTTCTTCCAGTGAAGGCGCATGTTCAAAATTACACCCTGGTAAATTCCTCATCTTCCAACCGGCACATAGTTTTTGCACTTGAGGCCCATCTTCAAAAAGATAAAGTGCTCTTCTGGAGTCAATATTTCTGGATCTTGGTTTGTTTCCGATTATTCAGCAGGCTCAATCTTATTTTAAGCTGTTATAAGTCTTTCTTCTTTCTTTCGAGCCTGAATAACAAATGGAGGAAATGCACATGAAAAGAGCTGGGAACAGAAGAATTTACGGGTACTAGCACATATATGACTATAAGCAGCCCTAGCTTCAAAATAACACACTCACAAGGAGAGAGAGCTGCGCTTGAATTACCCTAATCAATATGCAAGTATTTTTTGTAGAAAAACTGAGATTAACCTTTCTAAGTTTGTAAAGAATTTTTGCTTCGGCTGTCATTCTTTCAAAATCTTTCTTCTTCTTCCACCTGAAAATTTTCAACCTCCTTACTACAGCTCGTTTACCCTTTAGTTTCTTCCTCTTCGCCTCAAGGTTAATACTACATGCGTCATTTCCTACAACATTTTATGAAACATTCAGAAATAGGGCTGAATGAATCTAGCCATGCCCCCGAACAGATACCTCTTTAGGCCATAGATTGGAGCAAAAACCTGCTGTGGTCCAAAAACCTTGCATATAACACCAACCAAACTACTTCATAGTTAGTACAGGCAGATTGTTTAAAGATTTGTTATTTTTCAAGTGAAAATTTCAGATTTAGAAATATATGCATGCATATGACACATTCAACACTTTTCCCAATAGGACTAAAATTTAGGGTGCGTTTGGCTCACGGAATGTAAGTTTACCTTTTGAAATAAAATTACAGTAATATAACATTTCTGAGAATGTTGTATTACATGTTTGATTGGAGAAATATAAGATTAATTGGATGCATGTTTTACCAAATTATGCTTGTGATATATGTTTTTTTAACAAGTTAAACTTTAATACTAAATTATAAATATTTGAATGAAAATATATAAAAATATTTTAATTGTTACACTATCCACGTTTTAAGAAAAATACATTTAACATATAATTAATATAATAAGTATATCAAACTTGTATTTTAAAATAATTTTCGTATCATATTTATTTATATAAAACATAATATAACATAAAAAATAATATTAAGATCTCAAGTGGACAAATATATTATTTTTTCATGTGTAAGATCTATTTTTAATAACTTAAAATTAAATATTATTTTAAATAATTACATATTTTACAATAATAATATTTTTACCACATAAAATTACAAAATGATTAATATAAAAATATTAAAAAATATGAAATAATTTTAACTACTCGAATTTATTAATATTTTAATAAATATTATTATTATTAAGTTTGTAATTTTGAGTAAAACACTAAAGACAAAAAATTGAATAAAAACACATGTAGCCAAATTAACTAATTTACCTTAGGAATACAAAATTTAAACAAGTTGATTGATAATGGATAAAATTTACATAAACATTTAATCAAACAAATTGAATAAAAAATTACAAAAGAAACAGTAATAATATAGAGAGCAAGCATTGCTAATTCTCTCAATGAGGTGATATTAGAGAATCCCTTGCAATCTTTTTTTTTTTTACTTAAAAGTTTAGTTTTACATTATCTTAAGCATTCATATTCCACATTAAAAACAGTAGAACAACGTTGCAATTAAGGGTTATTAGTTTTGATCTAAAATTAGAGTCTTGTTGGGGGTAAGTCCGTTGTTTATCGGTTAAGATTTTAACAATATGATACTACTTAATATTTGTATACATATAACTATTTTTTATAAATTAAAATATATTAAATTATAACTTAAAAGCAAAAGGTAAATTAACCTAATAATATATATGGATTTTATCTAAAAAGAAGAAATGCAAGTAGTATGTATCGAAGATATATATTTGTACGAAAACAAACATGAATACATATTGATCAGACAACGACGACACGTGTTTTCAATCGTTAAATGAGTGTATACTTAGAAGATCATATTTAAACACTTGAACAAACTTATATATAAATAATCTGATATGTGAGATTCTCATGATCAAAACTTCTTAGATTTTGAGTTGGGAAAGACGTATCTTGAACTTGATCAAACTCATATCAGTACGACATACAATATTAGCTTTAGATATTTTTAAATGACGATCATTTTCTTTAATTGTCATATTGATATAAGTCTGATCAAATTCAGTACATGTCTCTGACAACTCTAAATCAACAAATTTTGGTTATGATTCTCAAATTTCATATTGTTCATATTTTTTTTTCAAATGTTTAAATATATATTTTTTAAATAAATTCTCACAAGTGATTGAAGATAAAACTTATACGTCTGCACTCGTGCAAATACATGTCATGTTAGTAAACATGTATCCTAAAAAACGTGTTTTATGAAAAGCACAACTTACGTGAAATGTCTTTATCAATAGGGTGCTATTTTCCTTAATAAACATTTTTCTTATTTATATAAACACTTAATAATAGTGTACTATTCCAACAATTAGGTGTTTGTTACATAATTGGGAATAAATAATTTTAAGACTATTAAAATTATTTAGATTTATTTTATGAATATTTTGTTATACAATTCGAGACGAAAAATAAAATAAAATAGAACTTTTATTATTAAAAGAGAATAGATACAATTTACGGCTAAATCATCCGGGTATTGACAGAATATCGAACTTGAAACTGGTTGAGGCTTGCAATTATGCAGTTTCTTTAAGACAGATTTTCAACCACTCCTTGGTGCTCGAGATGTCTTAGTCGTCTGTCTCCCAAAATACCACAACGATATGGTCAACATACAGTAACACAACTTGCGAGACCACGAACTTTAGCTTGCTAGAGAATATCACTAGGAACAAAACTAAGAAGAAGAAAAGATTTTGAGTTGTGATTAACCTAGTAGGTTAGAACATTATTCATAGTGGTTCCACATAGGATAAAATTGGAAATAATATATTCTAAAAAAAGTAAGGTCATTAATGAGTATCCGAATTAATTTGGAAATAATCAATTAATATTGTATCATATCGAATATATTCTTGAATTGAAAGTCATACCATATCAGTATTTTAATTAAAAGGAAAACTTACAATATTTTTTAATTCATAATATTCAAAAAGATATGTTTCATTTAAGGAAAATATTAATTCGTAGTGAATAAAAATATCTATAAACTTGCACTGGGGAAAAATTGAGAAGAAGAAAAGATTTTGAGTTGTGATTAACCTAGTAAGTTAGCATGGTATTCATGGTGGTTTTACAT